GAGGCAGCAATTAATAGCCTACCACCCAAAAAAAGCCCAGGTTCGGATGGGTTCACAGCTGAATTCTACCAGACATACAAAGAGGAGATGGTACCATTCCTTCTGAAACTATTCCAAACAATCCAAAAAGAGGGAATCCTTCCCAAATCATTTTATGAGACCAACATCATCCTGATACCAAAACCCGGAAGAGACCCAACAAGAAAAGAAAACTTCAGGCCAATACCCATGATGAACATACATGCAAAAATCTTCTATAAAATACTGGCAAACCAACTGCAACAGCACATCAAAAAGCTTATCCACCATGATCAAGTAGGCTTCATCCCAGGGATGCAAGGCCGGTTGAACATATGCAAGTCTATAAATGTAATTCACCACATAAACAGAACCAATGACAAAAACCACACGATTATCTCAATAGATGCAGAGAAAGCCTTTGACAAAATTCAACAGTGCTTTAAGCTAAAAACCCTCAATGAATAGGCAAAAACTGGAAGCATTCCCTTTGAAATCTGGCACTAGACAAGGATGCACTCTCTCACCACTCCTATTCAATATAGTATTGTAAGTTCTAGCCAGAGCAATCAGACAAGAAAAAGAAATAAAGGGTATTCAAATAGGAAAGGAGGAAGTCAAATTGTCTCTATCTGCAGACGACATGATTGTATATTTAGAAAACCCCATTGTCTCAGCCCAAAATCCCCTGATACTGACAAGCAACTTCAGCAAAGTCTCAGGATACAAAATCAATGTGCAAAAGTCACAAGCATTCCTATACACCAATAACAGACTTAAAGAGAGCCAAATCAAGTACGAACTGCCATTCACAATTGCTACAAAGAGAATAAAATACCTAGGAATACAACTAACAAACATAAAGGAGCTCTTCAAGGAGAACTACAAACCACTGCTCAAGGAAATAAGAGAGGACACAAACAGATGGAGAAACATTCCATGCTCATGGCTAGGAAGAATCAATATCATGAAAATGGCCATACTGCCCAAAGTGATTTACAGATTCAGTGCTATCCCCAGCAAGCTACCAATGATCTTTTTCACAGAACTGAAAAAAACCACCTTAAACTTCATATGGAACCAGAAGAGAGCCCACAGAGCCAAGTCAACTCTAAGCAAAAAGAACAAAGTTGGAGGCATCACACTTTCTGACTTCAAACTATACTACAAGGCTATAGTAATCAAAACAGCATGGTACTGGTAGCAAAACAGAGATAGAGACCAATGGAACAGAACAGAGACATTGGAGGCAACACCACACATCTACAACCATCTGATCTTTGACAAACCTGACAAAAACAAGCAATGGGGAAAGGATTCCCTGTTTAATAAATGGTGTTGGGAAAACCAGCTAGCCATATGCACAAAGCAGAAACTGTACCCCTTCCTGACACCTTACACTAAAATTAACTCCAGATGGATTAAAGACTTAAACATAAGACCCAACACCATAAAAACCCTAAATGAAAATCTAGGCAAAACCATTCAGGACATAGGCATAGGCAAGGATGTCATGACCAAAACACCAAAAGCATTGGCAACAAAAGCCAAAATAGACAAATAGGACCTAATCAAACTCCACGACTTCTGCACAGCAAAAGAAATGTCATTAGAGTGAATCGGCAACCAACAGAATGGGAAAAAAATTTTTGCAATCTACCCATCTGACAAAGGGCTAATATCTAGAGTCTACAAAGAACTAAAACAGATTTACAAGAAAAAAACAAAGAAGCTCACTCAAAAGTGGGTGAAGGACATGAACAGACACTTTACAAAGAAGAAATATGTGAGGCCAACAAACGTATGAAAAAATGTTCATCATCACTGGTCATTAAAGAAATGCAAATCAAAACTACATTGAGATACCATCTCACGCCAGTTAGAATGGCAATCATTAAAAAATCTGGAGACAACAGATGCTAGAGAGAAAGTGGAGAAATAGGAACACTTTTACACTGTTGGTGGTAGTGTAAATTAGTTTAACCATTGTGGAAGACAGTGTGGCGATTCCTCAAGGACTTAGAAATAGAAATTCCATTTGACCCAGCAATGCCATTACTGGGTATATATCCAAAGGATTATAAATCGTTCTACCATAAGGACACATGCACACAAATGTTCATTGCAGCACTGTTTACAATAGCAAAGACCTGGAACCAACCCAAATGCCCATCGATGATAGACTGGATAGGGAAAATGTGGCACATATACACCATGGAATACTATGCAGCCATAAAAAACAATGAGTTCGTGTCCTTTGTTGGGACATGGAAGAACTTGGAAACCAACATTCTCAGCAAACTGACACAAGAACAGAAAATTAAACACCACATGTTCTCACTCATAGGCGGGTGTTGAACAATGAGAACACATGGACACAGGGAGGGGAGCATCACACACTGGGATCTGTCAGGGGTGGGGGGGAATAGGTGAGGGACAGCAGGGGGTGGGGAGTGGGGGAGAGATAGCATGGGGAGAAATGCCAGATATAGGGGATGGGGAGGAAGGCAGCAAATCACACTGCCATGTGTGTACCTATGCAACAATCTTGCATGTTTTTCACATGTGCCCCAAAACCTAAAATGCAATAAAAAAAACAAGAAGAGGAAAAATAACTTACTCTGTGTCTAGGGCTTTGTATACATGTACAATGTAATCATGACAACAACCACAAAATTAGACACAATTATTATCCTGATTTTCCAAACAGACTATAAATGTCAGCAACAACAACTGAGGTCTTTACAGTTCCAAAGTCCCTGCTCTTAATGTTCCCATCATAAGGCTTCTGGCTCTGCTAAAGGACTTGTATTTCCATAGTCAATACTGTGACCTTTGGAAAATGAGACACCTGGATGTGAACCCAGCTAGGTGACTCACTTGAAAAATGGCACTTGCAAATCAGATCACCATTCGAGCCTTAGTCCCTCATTTGTGAAAATTAGGGATGAAAATAATGCCTGCCTCACTGAACTGTTATATAAGTTAAATGAGATAATAAAGTATTTAAAGTACTCAGCATGATGGCTAACAAACAATGAACCTCAGTCAATGCCTGTCAAATGAATTAAGGAATGAATCTCTAACAATTAACATGAATAGGGGAGAGAAGAGACAGAAAATGCCAAACAGTGACTCACCGGAGAGCAGTAATACTTGGCTTTGTGATGTGGCCAGGGACATCTGGATAAGAAAATTCCGGGACTGTCTACCGTTTCTATTGGCTGTTGCCATCTGCAGGAGCTCACTGCTGAGACCACAGCCCGGAGGTCCTCACCCTGGGGCAATTCACCTTGTTTGGTTCCACAGGCACCAATGGCATTTATAAGGCAACCATTCAAAAACAGTGTTTTTAAGAGGGACTGGCCCCCACAATAGTTACATTTGAAGAACACTCTCATCTTTATTGTTGGACAAACAATTGCAAACCAACATGCCACCAACATCAAAAGAGGGATAACTCCAGAAAGAACGCTGACTCACAGCTATGTTGGGCCCAGTATTTCTGCATCATCAGCTCACTGGGACTTTGAGATTTCACTTCCTAGTAAAATAGTGTGGGAAAAATAGTGGAAAAACTCAAAAAGATATTTTATAAAGTACACATTTTTAAACCAAAAGAATAGGAAGAAAACTCCATTATTTTAGCTGTGTAAAACTTAACACTCATCACACTGATCTATTTTTCCTATTTTACTACAGGCTCATAAAAACTGTTACTGGCATAGTCCAATATACGGATACACACACACACACACACACACATATGAACATACACATACACACATATAAATGGGTAAGTATTGAAGAATGATGTCATTATATCATTTGCTTTGTGATAGCCCGGAAACGGCCAGGCGAGGTGGCTCATGCCTGTAATCCCAGCACCAGCATTTGGGCGGCCAAGGCGGGCAGATAATCTGAGGTCAGGAGTTTCAGACCAGCCTGACTAACATGGAGGAACCCAGTCTCTACCAAAAATATAAAGTTAGCCAGGAGTGGTGGCACATGGCTGTAATCCCAGCTACTGGGGAGGCTGAGGCAGGAGAATCACTTGAACCCGGGAGGCGGAGGTTGCGGTGAGCCGAGATCATGCCATTGCACTCCAGCCTGGGCAACAAGAGCAAAACTCCATCTCCAGCAACAACTACAACAAACCCCAGAAGCAGAGATACTATTTTCAGTTTACAGAGAAAAATACTAAGGGTAAAGAGATTCTCCGAAGACACAGTGCATTCGACAGAGAGGGTGGACTCAGGCCAAAAAGGTTAGGCATTAGGAAGATCTTATCACACAGTGCCACAAACTGTGAGATACTGTGGAATTCACAGAAGCTTAGGCATACCCAAATTTAGGCAAAATTTATACATATATAGCTATAAATACATAAAAGAAAATTGGAAATGTTATCAATTACCTGTAGTGTTTTTCCACTCTCCAAAAAACAGTCTATTGGCCAGGCGCGGTGGCTTATTCCTATAATCCCAGCACTTTGAGAGGCCAAAGCAGGCAGATCACCTGAGGTCAGGAATTCGAGACAAGCCTGACCAACATGGTGAAACCCCATCTCTACTAAAAATACAAAATTACCCAGGCGTGGCAGCGCATGCCTGTAATCCCAGCTACTTGGGAGGCTGAGACATGAGAATCACTTGAACCCGGGAGGCGGAGGTTGCAGTGAGCCGAGATGGAGCCACTGAACTCCAGTATGGGCAACAAGAGCAAAAATTCTGTTTCACAAAACAAAACAAACAAAACAAAAAACAAAAAACTATGTACAGATACAGGTATATAAAAATATGGCTACTGATTATAAGGGTAATGTTTTAATCTCTATATATTGCATATTATGTAGACTCAGATTGAAAGACCACAGCATCACCATTCTCTTTCCCTCTCTTTCTCCCTTCTCCCACGTTCTTCTCCAATGTCTAGCTCATATACCTCTACCCTCTTGGCCCACCAATGCTCTGTCTTTTATATGCTCTGTACACTTTGAGAGGAAAGAAAGCTGGAATGAAGTTTTTAGTAAGTTTTCAGAAGCAAATTGATAACAAAAACATCTTGGAAGCTCAGCTAATTGAAAGCCAGTCAAAACTCTTCTGTAAGGTCCCAATATCATGATAAAGTGTTTCTCCTGAGATGGGTCAGCCTTAGTTCTATTCTACCAGCTAAAACTACTAAGCTCCAGGTCCGCAGAATTACTTCTCTTTAGTGTCACTGTTTTAGAACAATGACTGGTGTCACCATAATTGATGCGAAGAACATTCTTTGATGGACTAGACACCCAGCATGCAAACACTACTAGAGCTGACAGCAGACAGCTGAGTGAGTCAGCTTATAGTCAGCTCCATTCGTGAACCTGTGTCCTTCAGGATAACTATATGTGTACCTTTCTGCACTCCAAACAGTAGCAGCGGCAGAAACAATGACAGAAAGATGCTTTATATTCACACGTATTTGATTAACACTGGATACTGTTATTTTCATAGAGGCCTGCTCAGTACCTTTACCCAAAGGGTCATTTTGAATCTCCAGATATGCTGAGTTTTTCAAATGTATTTGACCAAAAAATTCTTTTTTACAGAGTTAAGAAAGGCAGCTTAAAATAAAAAATTCCTAGACTGTTGCCTGTGGATTTGTGGTTTGGGAAATTAGGTTCAAGCCTCAATGAGGCTAACCAAGATAGCTTACTTGAGACATTTCAGATTGGCAAATATTTTTTTTTTACTAACTTTGTACCCTAAAGTAAAGAGATAAATTGTAGATGTATTTTTTTTTTTTAATTCTTCAAAACCATGACTCCCTGGAGTTGGGTCTAAAACATTCTGTAATTTTTTTTTCTTTTCAAGACCCAAAGTGATTTCTCTCTATAAATCCATTCTCAACTATAATTATAAAAGTGAAAATTTAATAAAAGCTCAAAAATAAGCACAATGGATGCAATCTTTCATTTAATCCACAAGTCAATGCTATGAAATAACTATGATTATTATCCCCATTTGCAGATAAAAAATCTAAGTCTTGCTAGGTAAAGCTGTTTTTCAAGATCACTTGGATAATCACTGAAACCAAGGCACACTGTCTGCAGAATTGGCGTCTTTCCACACCTCTTCCATCTCAGCTCTGTATGTCCTAACGCCCACTCTTGCCTGTCCCTTCTTGATACTTTATCATACTTGGCCACGTGTAAAACCCGTATAAACTCTGTCTCCACTCCTCCTGCCATAGTACCTTAACAGTGTGTTGGCTGTTTCATTAGCACTTTTTGATTTGAATAGAGACTAAAAAAAAAAAAAAAAAAATACCCAAGAGGATCAAGACATCTCCAGGGGGGAAAAGGGGCTGACTGAATGTCCCTTCCCAGATAAAGGCTGTGTCCATCTCTTTCTTTTGTGAACTGTTCCACACTTGAAGGATCCTCATGACGCACAAAAGACCTGTGAAAAGGGAAGAGTAGTCCAGCTGACTGATAGAAAGCCTTCTCTGTGTCCTGTTCCTCTGACTTGGACCCCAGTGAATACCATTTGTTTAAATAATGATCAGAACATAATAGATACTATGAGGTTGCCAAGAGCCTGTTCATTCAGCCTCTGCTTGACTAAAGGGGAAAAAAAGAAAGAAAAAAAACCCCACCCTGATGGCATGGTTCTTTGGGCTCAGATTTCCCCACTCTGAAGTTTGAACTGAAATCCCAAGATCCATCAATTTTAGTAATAAAAAAGTTGGCAAACAGAACCTTCCCCTCATCTCCAATAAATAAATACATTTTGAAAAGTGGGATGGAGGGAACTGCTAACCACACAGGGGTAATTATCAGAACCTCAGATCTTAGTGGCATTCCCATCCTGTTACTCTCCCGAGTTGGGAGTGGAGTGATGTATTTTGGAAAGGTAGAAGTATGCAGGAGTAAGGAACAGGATTTCTGCTGTTAGTAGACTGAGGTTTGAGGCCTAGCTCTTCTTTGCTCACATTATGTGTCCTTGATCAAGTTGTTATTACTTCTCTGAGACTTGGTTTTCTTCTCTGAAAAAGTGAAGAAAATACAGCCACAAGTTTTATGAAGATTAAATGGCTTACTATGCCCAAAGGCTGTGGAAGTGGAAAAACATTGCTCATCTTTGGAAGCCAGAATGTTCACTATCAAGCCATGGATGATGCATCACTCTCTTCCCATCTCTACTCTTACCCAAGAGCCCTAAACTCTCCTCCTCCCTGCTTTAGCTGTATACTGCATTAAACAAAAACAAAAAACCCGGGAATATATAGCTTAAAATCCATTATCGTCGTTGCTGCTGATCATGTATCAAAAGTCACAACTATCCCTGGCGCACCTGGATGTCTGACATTCTAACTCATAGAGGCACAAACATATTTCCCTGGCCTCCAGCAGAAAGAACGTGGCAGAGAAAACTCAGAACAAGGCACAGTGGCTCATGCTTATAATCTCAGCACTTTGGGAGCCCTGAGTGGGAGGATCACTTGAGCCCAGGAGTTTGAGTCCAGTCTGGGCAACACTGGGAGACATCATCTCTACAAGAAATAAAATAAATTAGCCGGGAATGGGGACACAAACCTGTGGTCCCATCTACTGAGGAGGCTGAGGTGAGAGGATCACTTGAGCCTAGGAGCTTGAAGCTGCGGTGAGCCATGATCATACCACTGCACTCCAGTCTGGGTAACAGAGTGAGATGCTGTCTCAAAAAAGAGAGAAAGAAAAAGAAAATTCAGAACTGCCCAGTAGAGAACCGGCACGGAATATTGTTCCTGTAGATGGAGACTTCTTACTGAGGTCCACACTTCTCCAGGCAGGAGTGCTATAATCCAACTAGCAAAGCCTATGTCTATAGTGCTGCCAATTGAACACACCTGTAATCCCAGCACTTTGGGAAGCCGAGGTGGGCAGATCATTTGAGGTCAGGAGTTTGATACCAGCCTGACCAACAGAGTGAAACCATATCTCTACTTAAAATACAAAAAAGTTAGCCAGGTGTGGTGGCGCATGCCTGTAATCTCAGCTACTGGGGAGTCTGAGGCAGAAGAATCGCTTGAACCTGGGAGGTGGAGGCTGCAGTGAGCAGAGATCACGTCACTGCACTCCAGCATGGGCAACAAAGTGAGACTCCATCTAAAAAAAAAAATGTATACTCAAATTATTCTAAAAAGTATTTGGGTAATATCATATGAATTTAAGGCTAAACCATACCTCTCCAACACACACACACACACACACACACACACACACACACACACACACACGCATACATGATTATTACATAAAATCAGGAATCTGAGAAACAAGTGACTAGATCACAACAAAAATCTTCCATCCTCTCTCCTACCCGGTACTTTGCTGTGGGTATCTAGAGGATTTGCTTCCCTTCCCCTAAGAAGCTGGAGACTGTTAGGCTTCATGGGAATAAACGAGGAAATTGCAACAAAGTGAATTACATACAACTACCAAAAAATATCAGTAAAGGAAAGCATTTGCTTATTAAATATCTGGACACATAAATCTCAGAAATTGTATCTTGGCCTGATTTGGGCAATACATTTAACTATATTAGCTCACTCTTTTTTTTTTTTTTTTTCCTAGTTACAACTCTCTGCCCCCAAGCTGAGCCCACCCAGGGTGGTTCTTCAAGAGAACATAATTGGGGAATTTTGGTCTCAGTGTGAGGCCTTCAGAACTTAATCACAGGAGTCCAGAATCAAAAAGCCTTTAAAAAACAGTTCTTTCAACAGAGAGAAGGTTTCAACAGAGAGAATGTATGTTCTTTTCATACAAAGAGCTTCCTGGAACACAGGGACGCATCAGACTGGCTCAGCCCAGCATCCACTCCCCCTCACAGAACTAGACTGACCTCCTTGTCTCAGGCGGCTCCTCAGGCTGTGGGTGAGTCCTTTCTATCAGTCCTTTCTCTCATGGTTTTCTCGGTTCCTACCTTTGAAAGAGAAGCCAAGCTGAGTGATTAAGAGTCTGTCCTTGTGAGAAAAGGAGTTGGGAATTACAAGATGATGTAGCTGGCAAGTTCCCTAGCTGAAAAGAGAAACAGGCAAGTCTAATTCTTATGCTCTTCTGCTTTTGAACTTTTTTTTTTTTTTTGAGACGGAGTTTCAGTCTTGTTACCCAAGCTGCAGTGGCATGATCTCAGCTCACTGAAACCTCCACCTTCCTGGTTCAAGCAATTCTCCTGCCTCAGCTTTCTGAGTAGCTGAGATTACAGGTGTCTACCACCATGCCCAGCTAATTTTTGTATTTTTAGTAGAGATAGGATTTCATCATGTTGGCCAGGCTGGTCTGGAACTCCTAACCTCATGATCCGCCTGCTTCTGCCTTCCAAAGTGCTGGGATTACAGGCATAAACCACCATGCCCAGACTTGAATCACAGTTGTTTTTTTTTTTAATCAAATGATAATAATATGTGAAGGGAAAAGCAAGATCCCTTCAGACTCCTGGAAAGGAGCCTTTTTGTTAGGCAGGGAAATGCATATGAAGACATGGATTAGAGAAGCCAAGAATGTAGAAAGGAAAGGAATATGGAGGGATCCAGAGGGGAATACTGTGTCCAGGAGGGAAAAGAAGTTGAAGCCAGCAAGATGGGGAGGCCGTAGAAAGGGGGATTGAGAGAGAGAAAGAGAGAGAGAGAGAAAGAGAGAAAGAATGTCTGGCACCTAGACAGAAAAAAAAATAGAAAAAGAACAGAAATAAGAAAAGTAGATTTCATGAAGTTTGGACATGTATTTGAGGTGTTCATGTATTTGTAAAAGAAATGAATCAGCCTTCAAGCTGCTGTAGGGTGAACAGAGACAGCTAGGGGATCCTGTCCATTAGGATGATAGTTCTTTTTTTATTTAATTATTTGAAAAGGCAAAATAGATCAGTTTACCTGTCTAAATTCAGTGCCTTGGACTTCTCTAGCAAAGAAGCTATTTAGTGAACTTTCTTTCCTGTTCTGATGGCAGATTTTATTCTTTTACTGGAGTGACAG